TCTCTCTCTCTCTCTCTCTCTCTCTGTCTGTCTCTGTCTCTCTCTGTCTCTCTCTGTCTGTCTCTCTGTCTCTCTCTGTCTCTCTCTCTCCCCCTCTCCCCCTTTCCCCCTTTCCCCCTCTCTCCCTCTCTCTCTCTCTCTCTCTCTCTCTCTCTCTCTCTCTCTCTCTCTCTCTCTCTCTCTCTCTCTCTCTCTCTCTCTCTCTCTCTCTCTCTCTCTCTCTCTCTCTCTCTCTCTCTCTCTCTCTCTCTCTCTCTCTCTCTCTCCCTCTCTCTCCCTTTACGCTTTATTTCATGTGTGATTTTGAGTGTTGAAGTGAACCCACACGTTGTGTGTAGTAGGGAAAAGTAATAGGTTTGCTTTACAGCAAGTACAATAAGAGCTCTGTCCTTGCCTTCCCCTCGCTCTTCTGCCTCCCAATCCATTCCCAGTGTTGCCTGAAACAGTAACTGAAAGATTTCATGCCAACAATGTATTAGTGTATTTCTTAGAGCTGATTAACACTTTAGTGTTCAACCTTTTTACTAATTTCAAGTGCATTTCCATTCGTATTTGCACCTCCAGGGACAGGTGTAAATTTGTCTTTTTTTGCAAATGAAATTTTTTTTAAACGGTTTTTAAACCAGTCTTTAAAAATAGCGCTGGATGGGAACAACGCCATTGACTATAACAGTACAGATATCTTAAGGCATGTAAGGCCAACTCAGGCTTGGGCTCTCCCTAGTACTCTGACCCCAGAGGAGTTCAGGTTTGCACTAAAATCTTTTGACTTTAATAGCACAGCAAAGCAAGCAACTTTCCTACTCCCCCTTCTCCAAACTATTAGATGGATGGCTGCTGTAAACTGCTCTGTCCGTTGTGATCTTGTCCTGGACAGGAAGTTCACGGAAGCTGAGCAGAGAGAGAGTTGGAGCTGTTCAGAAACATGATGAATGTAAGTGCTTAGGTGAAAATACACAGAAGTATTTTGATGGGCAATATGTATTTGTTTCTGGATTAATTATTGAAAAAGTCTTGGAGCCTAATACGACTTCAGGAGCAGATAAATTGTAGGCAAGAAGAAACAAAGAGATTATGGAGATTGATGTCATTTAGGAGAGATGCTGAACCGAAGCATCAGCAGCTAAAGATCCATTTAAACAATCAAAGGTTTTACCAGGTCAGCAATGAAATAGGATTCTCATGTGAAAAACAGGAATACAATAAAATAAAAATAAATAAAATCAAACAAAATAACGGTATGCAGAAGTCCGAATAATGACCATCCAAGGGGCCCATTCACACCAGCATCAGATCACCTCCAGACCAGATGGTTTCTGGACCTAAAATGCATCCCAATGTTTCCCTATGCTTTTCTTGGCCTCAGTTCACACCACCACAGTCAGTTCCGGACCAGACCAGAAAAATACTGCGTGTCACATTTTGTCTGGTCTGGAATGCGTCAAAAACACAGCGGAACACAACGCAATGGGAAAAAAATGTTTTTGGCTGGTTTGGACGATCTCATCACCCCTGAACTTCCTGCTTCTGTGGAGAGAGAGATTTCTGAAGATAGGAACCATGATGGCTGAAGTGGACACCGAATTCTTTGTAGAACTTGGGGAAGCCTGCCCAGAACTGTATGTTCCAAGGCATGGGCAATATAGGAACAATAATAGGAAGATGGACAAGTGGAGCGGCATTGCTGCCCAGGTTGTCCCTGGCTATGATCATTTGAGCAGCTCTGAAAAGAACAACTGTGGTAAGTTCATGTCTCTTATGTGCAAGCATTGTGCTGCTCTTTTCCTGGCTATCTGTAGGTCTTGCAGAGGTCCTCCAGCAAGACCCAAAATTGAACGCGGCAAAAAGGCATCAAAGACGCGGCAAAACGCAATGCAGTGTGTTCCAGATCTGGTCCAGAAAATGGTGTGAACCTTGCCTAAAGCCAGACACTGTTTAATGCAGAATGTGATGATTATGCGATTCAATGTGTTCCAGCAACTAACTGTGCTGGAACGCACTGGATTAAGTGTATACATTTGTAGCAGTATCAGAGGACCCCACTGGAAGATTTCCCCTTTTGGTGGCAACTGTAACTGTGGCAACTGTGCCACAGAAGGTGGTGGCCACCGAGACAGACCGAGCAGATGGATCTCAGTAGAAGGGACAGACCGCAATTGCAGGAGTTCTAACCATTCCCTACTCCATCCTAAACTAGAAATAATAAGTTTAGGGTACACATACACAAATAACTGTGGCTTTAAAGAAGTGTTGTATTAGAATGATTAAAGAAGAACTACAGGCAACATTTTTATTGACCCTGGCAGTGGGGCTGCCTCTGCACTGCAAGGGTTAAAGTACTCGTTTTTGCCTAGGGTCAGAAAAAAAGCTATACTCGCCTGATCCTAAAAGACTGCTCGCTCCTAGACTAGTCCCTGGATCCCCTCTCCCCACCATTGCAGCAATCTAAGGTCCCTGAGTCGTCACATTCTATACCATGTAAAGGATGTGGGGACACTGAAGGAGATACCATCGCTGTAGCGTAGGCGGAGACAGACAGGAGGGAGAACTGTCACAGCCAGCCAGCTCAGGTGAGTATAACGTGAGTATAATGTTATTTTTCACCCTAGGTAACAGCGAGCCCTTGCTGTGCAGTCGTAGCATCACTCCAATTAATACAAATTGTATCCGGAGTTCTTCTTTAAAAGCAGTGAGATAGTTGTGATCTGTCTGTCTTTTTTTATGCTCCAATTTTAGCACCGAGCGTGACAGGGCGCGAGCAGAGCAAAGTGAAGCAGCCAATAAGATGTTCCTGGCAGACAGCCTGCAGAACGGAGATCAGAGAATTCCTTACACGCTCATCCCACAAGTGAAGGAAGTGTGCCGAGTGGTGGAGGGCTTCATCTATGTGGCAAACGCTGAAGCACATAAGAGTAAGAGATCTGGCTGCTGGCCACCGGCTATAATGTATTCTGAATGATCTGCTGTCATCAGATTGTTATTGTTGCTGCTTCCTCTGTGGAGATCCAGAAATGACATATTGTGTTATTGTGTGCTTCCTGTAGAACAGGTAAAGTGACATTAAAGTCAGCATTTTCCCCCCATTGTAATGGGACTTACAGGGACTTACCTTAAAGTGACATTAAACCCTCAGATTTTTTAACATAAACCAATACTGTAATGTGTGCCTTACTGTAATCCATGGTTGTTTCCTTTCTCTTTGCTGCTTTTCCTTTTAAATCCTTTTCTCTTCTCATGCTTGGGGAGAACTTCCCTTTGCAGCTGAGTGCCTCTTCCTGTAGTGCTGGCTCAGGTTGCAAACCTATACACAGACACCGTGTATCCATTCCTGAGACAAGGCAGTCTGCTGCAAAACAGAAGTTCTGCCCAGCATGAGAACAGATACAGATTTAAAAGGAAGAGCAGCAAAGAGAAGGGAAACAACCATGGATTACAGTAAGGCACACATTACAGTATTGGTTTATGTTAAAAATTCTGAGGGTTTAATGTCACTTTTGGACCGATCATCTTCTTCCTTACACTTGTTTCCAGCAGTCCCTCCAGCGCTGGTGCTGGTCTCTGATCCAGCGCTGACTGCTGTGTCTTCCTGTGTCCCACGGAGTCTTTGCGCGTGCATGCCCGTGGCTGCCTGCATTGACTTACCCTGTGTGTCTCCTCTTTTCCCCGCCGAAGATCTCTTTTGCGCATGCTCTCGCCCCATGATCCTTCATGGCCACTCGAGAAGCTCCAGATCTTCAGACGGGAGTGAGCGGCGGAGACAGAGGTAAGTAATTACCTTTTTTGGTAACTTTTTAAAAAATGTTTTTGCATATATCTACTGCTTGCTAGCAGCAGATAAAATTAGGGATGTCCCAATACCATTTTTCAAGAACTTTCCCTCAGGCATTTGCCGATATCAATTACCGATACTTTTTCTTAAAGGGACATGTGACATTTTTTCTAAAACAATACAGACCGATGATTTTAGGGCAGTTTCTATAATTATGAAGAACTGTAACTCAATCCATGATTATTCAGCAATGGAGAATGGCAGCCAGCAATAGAGGACTACAGAGCCTATCAGTCCATGATTATACAGCAATGGAGAATGGCAATCGGCTATAGAGGACTACAAATTTCAGCAGTCCATGATTATTCAACAATGGAGAATGGCAGCCAGCAATAGAGGACTACAGATCCCATCAATCTACAATTATACAGCAATTATACAGGGCTGCGTTTGGGTCTCACCAGGGCTGTGTGCAGATCTCGCCATGGCTGGGTTTGGATCTCACCAGGGCTGTGCGGGTCTCTGCGGGCGATGGGAAGGAGGGGATGTGGGGCCAGCAGGCGCTGTGAAAGACAGCTGCCTGAGGTCCCCAGCAAGCGCAGTCCCCAGCAAGAACTCTTGCAAGGTGGGAGGGGTGGGGTGCACTGCAAGGTGAAATTATACGGATACCCGCGTTCAGCTTTAAAGGGAATGTATTGTTATTTTGTACATATTTTCTTTCTTTATTATGGTCGAGGGGAAAAAAATACAATTTAGGTTATTAAAAAATATTGCATGTAAATAATATGAAGTCTTTTAGCCATCTAGCAGGTGGAGCTGCAATGCTCATTCATTCATGCTCACCTACCATTTAAAGATTTAAAGATTTAACTCCTGAGTTTAGTGTCACTTTAAGCCTGTTTACAGATATCAATAGATCAAGGTACATTTACACACCTGAACTGAACAAGTCAGAGCATTTACTCATCCCCGAGGGCTCGGCACAAAGATGAAATGAGACAACTGTGAATGAAAGTCAGCTGCTTCTGCTGTGCAGTCTCTTAAAAGAGAACGAAGCCAAACCTTTTGGCTTTAGTTCTCTTCAGAGTCACATGAGTATATTTAGGAATGTACTCCTGTGACCCAAACTCAGCATATAGCATGCTACTGCCTGCTATATGCTGATAGTGCAGAGCTGCAGCTGGGAAGCATCACAATTGTATTGTCGGGATCCACCCCGCCCGGAATTTTTGTTCAGCCGCTGATTACAGCTATTATTTTACAGGGAGGAGTCAGGAGAATACTTCAGCTAAAGTGACCATGAGCTTACAGCAGAAGGGTTAAAGCCACCCACGTATAGCATACGTCGGTGGAAGCAAAAGGGTTAAATGACCAATATAAAGACGTTTAAAGATGTTTATTACTGGTTGCATCCATGACATTCTTTTTTTTAAAACATAATAAGAAAGCCCAGGACTAGCTTCATGCTTTCAGACAGATTGTGGTTATTCACTGGTAAGAGGATGTCATCTTTCCTGGGAGGAGGTGTGTTCCGCCTCTGAGTCATTCTGTTCTATAGTGGCTGACAGGAAGAAATGTCTTAGAGCAGGGTTAGTAAAATTCAAGCCCTACACCTGAGTTGAAACTACAAATTTCATCATGCATCTACCTCTGGGAGTCATGCCTGTCACTGTCTTGCAATACCTAATAGGATTTCTAGTTGCACTACAGCTGGAGGGCCGGAGTTTGCCTACCTCTGTCTTAGAGCATAGAAATAGCACTGAGCTTTTCCTGTTGGCTGTAAATGATACATGTGAATTATAGGTTTGCAATTTTTATTTTTTGATGAATTCAGAAAAATAAAAATACATTTTTATTCTTTTTCCGGTTCTAACAATATTCAAGAAAAACAAATTAAAACATTGTCAATTCCTTAGGACCTTGCTATTATTACGTCATACGTGTCCTATGGACTATGCTGGTGAAATCTCTTAACTGTATTTTCCTGCCCCAGCAATTACAAGTAGGGATGCACCGATATATCGGGCGAAAATTGCACTTTTGGCATAAAAGTGCAATTTTCTGGCTGATACAGCGGTGTACCGATTCCTTCTCTCCTTCCCACTGGGCGCTGCTCTGTGTACCAGTGGGAAGGAGAGAAACTGTCACAGGTGGCCGAGCACTGTGAGCAGCCGGCGTCTATGTCAAGGCTGGACCAGTGATAAGTGTCTAACTGGATCACAGCTGCGGAACTGATGGGGGTTTGTTGGATAAGGAAGGTCAGTGAGCGGCTCCCAATTACATTAACTGCTAGAGGGAGACCGCACTCATCATATACTTCCTGTTACTGGGGTGAGAATTAAGCTAAGATGATATAAGGGTAGTACCCCTTACCCCACACTCATATGTGGCAAGCTGTACATGCGCGGTACCAGCGTGCGGAGTATCAAATGGGGAGGCAAGCAGTATGAGTAGCTAAGGGTTAACCTCTAGTGAACAAAACAGATGCATACATCGGATATGTAGGCAGTTTTATCTGCAGGTAGAAAGCATGTAGCATATATATGGATAGCTCAAATAATCTCCAATATCAGACTTATTGCACCACTATGCAGCGTTATCAGCAGGTAGCAAGCATGTAGGAAATATATGGATAGCTCAAATAATCTCCAATATCAGACTTAATGCACCCCTATGCATTTTTAGAGAAAGTCTCAGTCCTACGTCTCTTAGCAGGTATAGTTAACTGAAGGAGAGGCAATCCGGATCAGCTGGGGATGCTTAGTGTGTGTGCGTGTGAGACAGCAACACATAAGCAGCATGCAAGCAAGCACTAATACATGTAGCAGGTTAGGCAAGATTTACAATGACTTCCAGAATACTTGCGTTTGTGTGCTCTGAATAGTTCTGGGCTCACAGCGGGGTAGCAGTCTCGATTCGTCAGCTATTGGTTCTGGGCAGCGATCTGCTTTCAGTATCCAAGGACAGCCTGTGGGTTCTCTGTTCGTCACCCGACTCTCCACAACGAGAGAACGCCGAGTGACGAACCAGCTGACCCTTTACCCTGGTAGCCGCGCCCCGTGGGAGGAGCCGCCGTGACGTCACGCACGAGACGACCCTTCGCTGGAGCGCGGGAACACGCCGGGTAAGTCTGTGACAGTCTATCCTCCCCGCCCCGCTCACTCTCCTGTCACAGATCAGGGGAGAGCAGTGTGGGCGGAGACAGCCAGTGCTGTCACAGGAGGCCGGCCAGCGGTGCGGGGAAGGAGTCAACTGTCAGATCAAGCTCTCCTCCCCGCATTGCTCACTCAGCCTTCTGTGACAGCTGTAGGATGGCGAGTGGGTACGGGGGAAAAGCAGCCAGTGATCGCTGAGTGTTTGTAAATAATTGAGGACATAGTATGGTTACTATATCCTCAATTATGAATACATGGGAAGTGCTCTACATCACTTCCTCTTCATTCATGATTGTGGTTATAGTAAACATACTCTGTCCTCATGTTATGAATGAACAGGAACACTCAGTATAGAGGATTCCTGTTCATTTATAACAGGGGATACAGAAAAAGAGATTGAGGACTCTGTGTTCTCAATCTCTTTTTCTATTTAAAAGGGAAAATATCAGGGGTGTGTTTTAGACCCCCAATATTTCCCAGAAGCCCCTAAAAGTAAAGTAAAAAATAAAAATATTTAATACAAAATAAAAACAATTAAACATTTATAAAAAATAAAATATATTTAAAAAA